ATTGCAGTGATTTCATCGAATTTTCCACTATTGCCAACAGCCCTTTTTCGACAAGAATTATAAGTAAGAGATAAAAGAAAATAGTAAGTATTGCAGCACATTTCAGGTAATAGGGTGTGTCCGCTATTTTGTAACAGAAACTATGAACTGTGAAGTTTTCTTAGTAGAACATGGCATAGGATGAGATAAGGTAGGCAAAAAAAAGTAATCTCACATGTGAATGTGATTTACAGGATGTGAAAGTTAAAGTTAAGTAAAATAAAACTAATATGATATATGAATATCGTTTACAAGATGTGGAAGGTAATGTTTAAAATTGGAAATTAGTAATGCAAATACAACACTGTACAGGTAAAGAAATTGTAATGTTGGAGACATACTTGATTACAGAGATTGTATAAAATTAATACAGATGAAAGAAATTGGATTAGTTACCATGATTTCATCTCATCCACTTCTTTAAATTTATGATCAATGAAGAAACAAGAATGTGGTCTTGTCGATAATGTCAGCCCTACAAAAGAATCTATATATTGGTAAACATTTTGTATGCGAAGAAGATGGTAAGATATTGGTAGTGATGTTCATTTGCAGGTATGAAGCATTATGATACAATTAAGGTGAACTGAAGTACAAATTTGGTTTGCAGTGAGAAAGCATTAACGTAATTACCGTTGAATGAAGATACTTTTAAGTGGAGTCCTATGATAACTGGTTTTTAGATATGTTTCGTGCAATTGTAGAGCACTCCTTTTCAACAAAGGCATCCCACATCGTTAGTAGAATTGTTTGGAACCTGAAAGTTTGGAGGAGCAGTTAATATGTAATATTATTTTGTGCAAAATGTGTTGTGTAAAAAAATGAATAAAGAAGATGTTATTAACTTCCTATCAATGAGCACGATATCTTGCACATATGTTTCTGAAACATCTCTTGTATGGATTAGACGTTTAGGGCGTAAGTCTATGGCGACAGCAAACACGTCTGTAATAATACTAATAAAAATAAATATAAATATGTGAAGCAGATATTAATGTTTTTGTGAGGGAAGGATTGAGTTATAAATGTAGTAAAAGAAATCTGGTGCCATTAAAAAAGAGGGAGAGAAAGCAAGTTGTACTTAAATCTTTATCTGTATCCATCACAGTTTCAAATTCGTGAAATGGAGTGAACTCAAAAGTTGAGAATAGATGTGCGTTATTGTCTACATTTGTTTCTTCCACTCGAGTAGTACCTGAGATGGTCTATTGAATGTCCCCATATGCACTTTTGTACCCTGCTTTTGTATGTTTGACAGATGCATTTGAGATCAAGTAGGTTTTTCCAATTTTGAGATCATCTTTGAAGGCTACAATAGTGTTGTCCCAAAGGGTAGCCTGCACTTTGTTATCCTGCAGTAAACGATTTGTAAGTGAAATTTGTTTAATATAGAGATAAGTAGATAACTATATTAAGTTTAATACTCTAAATATTACAGATTTGGTTAAAGTTCATTTTTAAATATGTATACGTAATAGTAACACATGTTGTAATGGAGATTGTAGAGCGATGTTGGTACCATAAAAAATAATAAATTTATCACGAAATGACGATGTGCACTAAAACTTACTCTTTCATCCATGAGGATCATGTGTTGGTATCTGGTCTGGCCATTTTGTGATAATTTTGGAGGTGCTTTTTCAGCAACCACAACTTTGGATTAAGAAATAATAAATTCATCACAAAATGACAATGTGCACTAAAACTTACTCTTTCATCCATGAGGATCATGTGTTGGTATCTGGTCTGGCCATTTTGTGATAGTTTTGGAGGTGCTTTTTCAGCAACCACAACTTTCGATGTCCAGTTTCTTTGGCTGGGGCTAATGTTAGTGATGAGACTGAATTGTTGATTCACGATGTTACTCTGTATTTGTTGGGTAGAAGCAAAGAGAAGTTAGAAAAATACGGCCGGTAAGTGAACATAAATATATTTTACACTGCGCCTCTTAAAAACAAGTGGAAGTGTTTGTTTTTTAGCTAATATAAACAAGAGAAACATAGTATAGAATCTATAACTTATAGTAAAAATAAGAACTCAAGAGGTAAGCTGAGTTAAACAAGAACAAAACTATAAAGTAGATAATCGAAATAGAATTGTGAAGAAGGTAGACAGAATCAATATTTTTTCTGTTCTCTGGATAGTATTAAAATTTGTAATAATCAAACTTAGCAGTTAGAACAATTTTTCTTAAACAAACAAAAGTGTCTTTCAACTAACAAAATAGATACGAGAAACATAGCATAGAATGTTGATATAGAATAGGAAAAAATTAAGAAAAACAAAAGTAGTTTATTTTTTATTTCTTGTTTGTTTATGTTTCTGTGAGGTATATAATAACTGAAGTAGAACGAAGAAAGCAGGAGGGAAAAAAACCTGATAAAAAAAACTCAAGAACAACAATATGTGGAGTTAAATAAAAACAAAATTACATACCTGGTAACTGAAGTAGAACCGTGAAGACGGAAGGCAGAAGCAATAGTTTTTTTGTTGTGTGTGGTTGCCTTTATATAATACGTAAAAAATGTAATAACCAATTTTTGAAGTTATAATAATTACTATATAGTACTTGTTATCATATTGTACCACAAAAAAATAAAGCAGAAATCTGTGGAAGATATATTATTATATATGTATCAGATAGTAAAATGACATCACTACACAGTAGATAATCAGCAGTTTATACATGAAAAGGAAACAACTTTCTGGGAGCAGGTTGGCAGCTGAAAATCAGGAAAACAGAGAAAAGAATGGACAAACAAGAATATAGATTTATTTATTACTACTTTAGTTGTAAAAGTAAATACAAAATTAGATATTTTGTAGAAACGTGATTGTTAGTAGATTTGACTGTAGCAATACATATGAATTCGAACTATACGTGAACTTGTTTGAAAAATGAAGAAAATAGGAGAGTGCTAAATTAACAAAAATGAGAAAGAAAATATGGAAAAAAAATGATTTCAAAAATAGCTAAAAATTTGATTTATTTATTATTAAAAAATAGGGGATGCGGATACTAATTCATGCGAGCACACATTCAATCAGAAACGCCAATAAAATGTAGAGGAATTGTATATGTTCAGTTGAAGTAATATTTTTTAAAAAGGACATAATATCAAGATAAACTGATTAATCATTAATATGAAATACATATATAAATTCTGACAAAAATCTGAAAGAGGAAAATAAAAAGGCAACATAAAAATGTTGGACTAAATTCTAGTTTCCGTGTTGTATGAACAATCAATTGTTTTTTTTCAAACTCAAACAACTGATATATTTTTTACTTAAAAGAACTAAAATGAATTAAAATTTGACTATATATAATATTAAACATGAAAGCTTGTGTACCTTATTGTCTACTATACATGTCTCTATAGTAGTATCTACCTCGTTCATCTGTGGCCGAATGTATGTACAACTGGTAGTTGTCGGTTGAGTATATATATATAACTTTATGATTCATTTTCTGAGGTATGTATATGATATATCAATGCTTTTGTAAGAGAATTCAAAAAGAATAGTTAGTATATATTTTGGCAACACAGAAAAAATACAAAAAAAGTTAAGTGGGAGTTTTTTTTTTTTGTGCATCCGGGATAGCAAAATATAATATAAGCATGATGAACATTAGTAAATGCTAAATGAGCACAAAATCTGATTGGTTTCACTTATTTAGTGAAGAGATAAATTTTTTAATCAGTTTTATAAAAATTTAAATATGTATGATATTAAATAGTCATAGTGATTGTAATAATTATTTTATGCACTGTAATATTTAGCAGAGTCTGAAATACCTTTGGCACACTTCAGGTGGGGATTCATCTTGAAGCGAAAATTCTTCTAAACTTTCAACTTTTCAAGCTTTAGTAAGAACATGATGAACTTTGATGCCACTTTTGAATATATCTATGTCAACATTTTTCCGATTAATAGTCTAACGAAACATATGAGAAGTTCCATAAATCAAGATCATTAATAACATGGAACTAAAAACTTTATATGATGCCATGTACAGGGTAGAAGAATTCAAAATTGTAAAAGCTATATATGAAAGGTTTTTTTTTTAAAGAAGAATATCCAATTGAACGATTGTTTGGGAATATATTTTCAACATAAATAGAAGTTAATTAGTTCTCGGTTTCATAAGATTAAATGCACGACGTAGGGAAACATTTACAGTAAAGTAAGAAAATATAAAAATCAAATTGTAGAAGTCTGTATATAGTAAATGAACAATATTATGGCTCAATATATTCAGGCTGATTAAAAAAAACATTACCTTATATATTTAATGACACAAAACTTCAAGCAACCTAAGTTCAGCATTTGTATGTGATGATTCCACCTGTAAGAAGACATAAAAATTATGTTAGTCTTAACCCGTTTTATTTTCTTCTAAAAAATCCAATGTAGGAGCCAAATCAGAATTTAGAAAATCAATTATTATAGGTGAACTTAATTTTTCATTATACATATTTTTTGTTACAGAACAAAAGCTGAAGAGCAAAATTTATTCCAACAGGTCAGAAAAATTTAAAAGGAATAATGAACAAAATGGAAATCAAATTTTGAAAATGGGCATGCTTAAAATGTAGTAAACACCCGTACGATTTACAACATGAAGGTGGAAAAAAATTAACAAAAATCGACTGGAGATAGAGTGAGGAACAAAAAAACACAAGTTACGAACAAAAATCAGTATAAATATACACAATGCTTTACCAAATTTATTGCACCCCCTTCACATAGAGGGTGGCCACACAAAATAAAATATTTGTGAGCCCCCATCTATGTGAGTGGGGTGTAATCCATCAGGTGAAGTATTAGGTGTACATCTAGCATATCTCTTATGTACAATAGGCTATATAAACAACTAAAACGGGAAAAAAAAAGAATGAAATTGAGAAATCAAATGAAAAACACGAACAAATTCACCTTTCTTACGATGTTAATCTTCAGATTTGTTGAAGAAAAGGACGAGCATGAGAATACACCAATGAACATAGCTGCAAGGACAAAAGCAAACCAATCAAACACCTGTTGGTACTGTATATTAGTGTGATTTATTTCAGTGAAGGGAAAAAATCTCGAAAAATAATAGCAACAGTGACGGGGGATTCATCCGGGATTAAACTCAACCAGAAATGTAATAGTTTTACCTCGATAGGGAAGTAAGCTGGACGCTTAGGATTCCTGACATTGATACAAGGAAGATCGGCTATATAGGGCAAATCAATGTTACGGTTATCAGTGAAAAAATCATAGACAGTTAATTTAGCGGTTTGAAATTCACCAGCATCATCCTTGATTTTCTGCTTCAATGAGAACCTGAAACAAATAATTTCAAAGATGAAATCTTATACTTNTGTTCTTTGCAAGGCCTCTCACTTAATCCAGTAATTTTGTACTCTTGGTTAGTAGGGATTGTCGCTATACTCAAATTCCTCAGAACATGTTTTGTTTGAGTGGTTCAAATTATAGTAGATTTTGTTTGAGATGAGAAAATACTCTTGATCAAAGAAGTGGTTCAATTAAACACATACAATTGCTTAGATGAAATTGTCCATTACCTATGCCCAGTCAATAGAAAAGGGATCCTCCACATTTTGGTTTTCAACAAGAAAAAATGGAGGTAACTACAGTGGCTTCCAGGGTAGAGGAAGATGAAATTGTGGCGGCTATGGAGGTAGAGGAATGGGCAGGGGAGGCTTTGCAAGGAGAGATGGACCTCACACGGAAGAAGAATTTCGTGGTAGGGGATGGTTTTAGAGGCAGGCTTAAAAAAAAAAGAAAATAGGAAAGTGCTAAATTAACAAAGATGAAAAAGAAAATATCAGAAATTTAAAAATAATTTCAAAAATAGCTTAGAATTTGATTTATTTATTATTAAAAAATAGTGAATGCGGATACTAATTCATGCGAAGACACATTCATTCAGAAATACGAATAAAATATAGAGGATCTTTATCTGTTTATTTGAAGTAATATTTTAAAAAAAAACTATAATATCAAGATAAATTGATTAATCATTAATATGAAATACAAATTTTAATTTTGAGAAAAAAAATCTGAAAGAGGAAAAATGAAAAATCAACATAAAAATGTTGAACAAAACTGTAGTTTCCTTGTAGCATGAACATATATATATATATATTTCTTTTTTTTTTTCGAACTTAAACAATGTATATATATTTTATTTAAAACAAAAACATGAAACCGAAATAAATTATATATTTTTGAATTAAAATTTACCTAGATTCTCTCAATTGATGTTGAAGACTATTTACAAGTAAAATATACCTCATGAAAACCGCAAATATGTTGATGCTGGACTGGTGAGTAGTGCCGACATCGAAACATGAAAGATATTTTATAACACTTTACAGAAACTTAGAACTCAATGAAACTGATCATTTTTTTCATAAAGCATCAAAATCATAGAGTAGCCACACCTTTTCTCCTATTATTTTTCCTTTTGACTTCATGGAATTTATCTGTACAAGAACATCGAAAAAAGAAAGAAAGAAAAAAATCCTCTGAGCTTGTAATGGGAAGTTATATAAGCATGAAAAGATGGCATGCATCAATTTTGCTTTGAAAATAGACAATGTAATTTAATTCGAGGAGCTGTTTTATCTCGCAAAAAATAATGCTACAATCAATTATGACGACAACACTACTGGAATGATCGCTATACTTCCATTTGGGAGGGCGACTAGAATGGAAAAACGAAGGAAGTGCCAAGTATATTACCATTTCCAGGCATAATTAGCTTTGGCAGGACAGTGAATCCTCGATAAAAGCAATGGCAAAGATATCCCAAGAATAAATGAAAGCTTCATATCCAGTAAATATAAAGAACACAGCAAAAAATGAGTCATTTGCTAAAGATAAGTAGCTAAACAAATGCCAATACAAAATGTCAGTGGGCTATAGAACTGAAGGTACAACATTGTAAAAATTCTCTCTATTTTTACTTCCAAGATGTTAGATTTGTAGTTCAATATCAAACATGAAATCAAAACAGGACAATGCCTATATGTCTGATATCTGCTATTATGGACATACATGGAAGCATGCCATAGTGGGCGCTATTAAATCTGCCCTTCTACTGTATTTTATAAAGTCATGAAGGGCCTTTGACATTCTGATTGAAACCAAAAAAATTCAATTCAGCCACCCTCAACAGTCCAAATTTGTAGATGTCATTATCAACTTAATCTAAATAGCAATGTGTTGTTAAATATTCATTCTGTATTGAGGTGCTACTAATGTAATCATGCTAATCCTATTTCGTCAAAAGATAGGGCATGTAAGCATATGGAAATGCTAAATCCCCAAAATAAATAAAAAAAGTTTCTACATTAGTTCTAGCATCTAAAATTCTGGAAAAGGAAATCGTGGATAGTTATCTTAACACACAATTTGTAGAGTTAGTCCTTTAAGAAATTTGGGAAAGGAGCTAGCATGACATAGTTAGCTGATAAATTGCTAAATTATAGGACAATTGTACCTATGGAGGAGGAACCAGAAAGAAGTAGAAGAGACAGTGCATAGACAACTAATGGAAGCAATCTATGGTTTCTGCCCACCAACTGTTGCAGATAAAAAATTGATGCAGCTAATATATCTCGACAGCTATGATCAACCTCGTTTTCTCCAAATGTAGCCAACAAAGATCAATAAAAGTAGAAACAAATGAGTGAGAATGAAAGATAAATTAACATGAACTACAATTTAGTAATAAATTAAGGATCTAGAATGATTTCATATTCTATTATATCATAGTCATACAAGCCTAAGGATGCAGTAAAACAACCTCTTTTACATCTTCCATGCTTAATGTATACAGATCAGTATCTGTTCCAGTTACTGTTGATCTTGTGCCATAAACTGTTTTCTTCTTTGCCATTGCATTTGAAATTGAGGCCTTAGGAGTTACATGAACATAACAAAAACATAGACGGTCTAGAAGGGTCACCAACACCAGTAATCACCAGACGCTCAATCTTTTCTTCATCTTAAATATGAAAGGTAAGATCAATTTCTAAATATATGATCCTATACATCTATAAGACAAACCATCTTTCATGTAATTGATTATATGGGATGAAGCTTTTATGACACATCGTTATGCTATAGAAGCTTTGGATAGAATGCTTAAATATATTCATGAATGTGATACACTTTTTGGTCATGGCCATGGACGTAGAGGAATGGGCAAAGGAGGCTTTGGAGGGAGAGATGGACCTGACAGGGAAGGAAGATTTCGTGATAGGGGGTAGTTTTAGAGGCAGGAGGCGTAGTAATTGGAATAACAGAAATGATTCTAGTGATGACAAGATGTACAACTAGAAAAAAGATTCAAATGATAATAGTGAAGGATGGAAAAGTGGCAGTATTGAAGGCGGTTCATTTCAAGCAGGAAGTTGGAGTTCAAGTTGGAATCAATTAAAAGGGGATGAGGATGATGCAGGTAACACTGATGCTGTTAGAGGATGGAACAATTCAGCGGATGCTAAAATAGACTGTCAAAGTAATGCTGGACGTAGTGAGTGGGAAACATAAAATGCTTCTGCTGGGGATGTATCTACTGGGGGGAGCAACCATCTAGTTAGAGGGATACAGCTGGTTGGAAAAAAGAATTTGCTTCAGGAAACCAGAACACGACTGGGAAATGGAAATTTGATGCTACAGATGAGGGCTTATCTCAAGAATATAACAAAGTTGAACGAACTGTTAGCAGTTCATGAGATAAAAGTGCAAGAAACTCCTTGAGCCAAAAACTTATTTGCTGATCAGGACAAATCAGAAGCCAACAATGGCTGCAAAACTAAAGAATCCAACAAAGGTGAAGGATCATGACCGATGATAAACCTACAACAAAGAATCTTATATTAGCCCAATCTAATCTGAATAATTGGGAAAAAAAATCAGAACTCACTATTGTATGGTTTATGTCATTAAGGACGATATTTGTTGCCATCATTTACACGTGATATTTTGTTACATTGACACAACCAGATACAAGTTAGACAATCATGAAATAGTGAATATAATTAATAAACACTTCAAATAACGCGTGGTTAAGGATTGTCAAACAAAAAAAATTGAAAGAAACACAAATAAAAAACAAGTAAATACATTAAATACATAAATCACCTTACAAAGAATTGTAAAAACAGGAAGATATAAAAAAATTAACAAATATAAAGCTCTTAAGCTATTATGCTAATTTACAGTATTTCTTTGTACCTTATGCACCAAGTCTAAAATTTCTCTATATACAACATTTTTTGTACAAAGGCTATGTAAAGATATCGAATGTAAAGCTATTGGTTTAATCAAAATTTTTATTCATCTACTTGTTCTAGCTCTAGACAGTGCTACATATAATTGCCCTTGGGAAAAAAAGGATCAGGAAGATACAAACCAACAAAATCCAATGTTTGTTCTTGCGCTTTATTAATTGTCATAGCAAAACATGGGCGTATTGGAAATTGAGTTGTCTTAAATGGTATTGATTTTTTGTCTCCTTCTGGTGGTATAAAAGGAATTCTCGGTAAAAACACACGCTTCCCACGGTGTTCACCAATAGCAATTTTGGCATCTAAAACATTCTGTTCAAAATGTTTACAAACAAGTCTTGTACCGTTACATAAACCTTCCGATGGATTAATATTTCTAAGGAGCATAATTGGGCAATTATTTTTTAAAGTAAGTACGTGTGGAGGTATACCATTTGGTGTTAATGTATTTAAAAAAATCTTCTTGAATGCTTTGTTCTGTTTTATCTATACATTTGTCAAAACTGTAGTACGTAAATGTTTGTCCTGGAATTTGTTTTAGTAACATTGTGTTTATTTGATCAACAGATTCATTTTTAGGAGTTAAAATAACTCTATTTATTATTGCACCTAAATTATCCGTGTAATTATGTAAATTTGGAAACACTATATTGGTTAGCTCATTTAAGGAAACTAATTCATCTTTGTAAGGTATAGTTATTTCAGAAGGAAGAGTAATCATATCACAAGAATGAGTAATTTCTAATCCATTACCTATAGCAAGTAAATAATTAGAATAAGATATATCTAAATGAGCTCTCTTATTTTGCACTAAAGATAATTTTGTAAATAAAGGCCACAAGTATGAGAAAACTAAACTTGATTTTATTATATCTACTCGGTTACCTGTTGGTACTACTGGCAAGATTTGTCGAAAATCTCCCCCTAAAACTGTTACTTTTCCACCAAAAGGTAGATCGCAATCATTCATATCTCATAGGACTTTATCCAAAGCTTCTATTGTGAAACGATTTACCATAGGAGCTTCATCCCATATAATTAGTTTTGTTATTCGTAAAAGATTTGCTAAAGCTGATTGTTTACTAATAGAACAATTTGTTTCAGTACTGGATTCCAAAGGAATTTTAAACTTTGAATGAGTTGTACGTCCACCTGGTAACAAGGATATAGCTACACCTGATGAAGCTACAGCTAAAGCAATCTAATTTCCAGACCTTACAGCTGACAAATTTTTGTACAAAAAAGTTTTACCAATTCCTCTAGGACCATCAATAAAGAACATGGAATTTTTGTTATTGAAAACGTTTTCTAAAATAATATCATAAGCTTCTTTTTGATGTTGATTTAGTAGTATTTCTTCATTAGTATCTATGTTAGACATAGAATATCGCATTTCTTCAGAAATCATATTTGACAATCTCTCACTTTCGTCTACGTTTATATCGTATGGAGCAAATTTATAGTCGTTAATATTCTTTCCTAAAGGTTCAAGTAAGGAACTTATGTATTTGATTGCTTTTAATTCGGCATCATTATAAGATAAACCATCTTTCATGTAATCCTCAAACATGTAAGTCTTAAATTTTTCCCAAAAAGAGCACGGGTTATTTGGTGAACACAATAAAAGTACGGTAGCAAAAAAGTCTACATAATGAGGTAGGCATTTGATATGTAACTACTTCCTCTAAACAAAGTTCAGAACTATTATCGTTATTTAATAAGCCATGTAAGAGAGTTGCTTCATGAAAAGATGTTACTTGAAGATCATTAACTTTTTTTAAATTGTTAAATGATGTTGGACCTCGAATGTGATTAAGTAATATTCGTAAGTAATATCGTTCACCCTCAAGCGGATTTGCTGTAACAATTCGACCTATTACATTTTTTTTGTTTTCTACGAGTCCAATTTCGTCTTTGAGAATTCCACACAAAATGAATAAGAAAATCCCTGTACAAAATAGTTCTAGCTAGTTCATCGTAAATATTCATTCGAAAGAATTCTGTTAACATGATTCGCTGAACATAATCCCTAGAG